TGTGCTGGCCCGATCTTGGACGGCGACGTCCCTGGCCAGGCGAAGCTGGTGCTCCCGACGACGCTGGTCCTGAAAGAGGGGCTGCGCCTGCCGCCCATCGCCCAAGTGGCCGTCGTGCTGGCCATGGCGTCGTCGGCGCGGCGCCCTTCGCCCGACGTGGAGAGAGGTGAAGCACCGTCCGTGAAGGCGCGCCGCGCCGTCGGGGCCATGCGCCCACGAGGCGCGCGGCCGCGCCCGTGCCAGCGGCGCGCGGGAGGCGAGCGGCGGCGCGTCCCGGACGGAGGCAGATGCCTCCCGTCCTCCACCTGCTCCTGCCCCTGTGCTGCTGCTGCTTCTGTCGTGGGACGGGCGGTGGTGGATGGGGCGTCGGGACGGGATGCGGTCGTGCACGACAGAGGCCATGAGCTCGTGACGCATGCAGGGTTCGTGGTCTGTCGCCGCTGCGGGGCTATGTGTCTCGCGCTGTGCTCAGGAGCCCTTCCGACTCTGATAGCATGCACCGAGCGGATGACACGCAACCGCCGTGACAGCATCCCAGCAAGAGTGCACCCCAAAACTGGTGCCAACTTGGGAGGCGCCTGGGGCGGCCCATATTGGCCCTGGGAAGGACAGGACAGGGAGTAAGCATGCCGATTCCGGTATTGTAGCCAGAGCGGTCTCCTGAGGGGCAAACGTGCACATGACATAGGAAACGTGCATGTGGTGAAACGCGTGCATGGAAAGCCGCTCACGCATCCAACGAATCCCTCCATCCCAAACGAGGTCGCCCCATAGATCGTTTGGCTTCTGTCTGGAACCACGGCGTCCAGTGCAACAACCGTTTGCTCCACTTGTTCTCTCCGTCGAAAGAAAATGCGGGCTGCGAACGCCCACTTGCGAATGCCTTGAATGGACACCCAACTGCTGGCCCTGGGGTGGGGTCCCTCTTGGTCCTGCGTCCTCTGGGCGGCCTGTGTGGTTGGGGGGGTCCTGGGGTACCGTCTTCTGGACGAGCACCCGTGCCTGCGTAGGGTTGGGACCGGGGCCGAAGTGCCCCAGATGTCCTTTGTGCAGGGCGTCGATCCTTGATGTTCACAGAATTCCTTGGGTTCTGGGTGGGCTGTGCGCAGTAGGGTTCTCCCAGCGGACCTCTTTGGTCCCTCGGGTCAGGCCTGAATGGCCTGCAGTATGCACGAGGTTCACCCTGGGCAACGGTATGCACAGGCTGTCACCAGCTTAGGTTCGCCCTAGGCAGGGGACTGTCCGCAAGCTGCGAGACACACATGATTACACACAAAAACACAAACATACACACACACACACACGCACACGCACGCACACGCACGCACACGCATACACAGACATGCACACACTCACGCACGTACGCACACGCGCACTTGCACTTGCACTTGCACGCGCATGGCGCATAGCGCACCGCGCACCGCACACCTCGCACCGTGCACCGCGAACGCGCACGCGCACACGCACACGCACACGCACACGCACACGCGCGCGCACACGCACACGCACACGCAAACGTAAACGCACGCACACGCACACGCAAACGCCCACACACCCACACACACAGATACACAGACACACACACAGCACACACAAACACACACACACACACACCCAGCCCCCACCCCACATACGCACACACACACACGCACACACACACACACACCCACGCACCCACACACCCGAAGACCCACAGACACACAGACACAGACACAGAGACAACACACACAGGCACACAGACACAGACAGCCACAGACATAGACACAGACACAGACACAGAGACGCAGACCAGACGCAGAAAGACACAGACACACAGCAGGCACACAGCAGACACACAGCAGACACACAGCAGACACACAGCAGACACACAGCAGACACACACACACATACACACACACACACACACGCGCGCACGCACGCGCACGCGCACGCGCACGCGCACGCACGCGCACGCGCACGCGCACGCACACGCACACGCACACGCAAACGCACACGCACACGCACACGCACACGCACACGCACACGCACACGCACACGCACACGCGCACGCGCACGCGCACGCACACGCACACGCACACGCACACGCACACGCACACGCACACGCACACGCACACGCACACACACACGCACTCGCACACGCACACGCACACGCACACGCACACCCACACGCACACCCACACACATTCACACATTCACACATTCACACATTTACACACTCACACACAGACACACACACACACACGCAAGGTGAGGAGGTCTCGCCATCGCTCGGACGTCCATTCCCCGTGCATGTTCGGTTTCGTGAATGTTTTACGCCAGATGATCCAGGATGCTCCTCGCTTGTCCCCGCCGAGAACAAAACAAAAACGCACACGTCCGAGCGATGCCAAGGTCCTGCCGCGCCGTCTGCAGCCCCGCACCCCTCGACGCGAGGCACGTCGGGCCAGGGCACTGTCTCGTGCTCGCCGCGCCCCCTGCTCTCCTCTCCCCTCTTGTTGCTCTTCTTGCTACTAACCTGAACCTCGCCCCGTCCTGCCTCGACCGCCCGTTCCCCCTCGCGCCCCCTGCGCCCCCCCCCTTCCTTCTCCTCCTCCCGATCGCCCCGCTGCCGCTCATCTCCCTTCCCGCCTTGTCCTCCTCCTGCGGTTGCTCCTCCCCCATTCCTTTTCCTTATTAATAACTTCCCCCTGTCGCGCCCCGAAGCCCGTTTCCTAGGGCGGCCCGGGCGCGTCGCCCGATGCTTCGTCTGCATCGACGCGATGAACTTTTTCACCGCGAGCGGTCGCGCCCGGCTGCGGACAGGTCAACAGGGGCCAAGCCCTCCTCCCGCCCTTACGTCGGGAGGGCTTGCGCCGGAAAGTGGCGCCGGAAAGGGCGGGGCGTGGATGTGGCAGCAGCGATCTTCAACGCTGCTATACACGCTTATTTCTCCCCCATTCATCCATCCCTGCACTTCGCCCGCCCGCGCGGTGGGCGGGCGCGCGCAAATGACAGACCACCGCCGGAGGCAGATGTGATCCGCGGATGGGGTCACAGCGGGATCTTCGGCCCGCGGGGCCATTCACTGGAGGCGCAAAAACGCGCCTCCGCCGGAGGCTGACAAGGACCGCAGACGGGCTCTCCGCGGGACTTCCGCCCCGAAACATCTCGATGGGAGGGCGGCAAAAGCTGCGACTCAGCAACTCGCGGGACCTTCGTCCCGAACTGTCCTCCACCGGAGAAAAGAAGTATTGCAGCGCGCGCGACGTCGAGCGCTCCGCTCGCGCCTGGTCGGGGGGCGCCGCCCCGCCTCTCGCGCTACCTGGCGGCCGCCGCCGGCGGCGCCGTCCGCGCGGGCCCCCCGGCGCCCGCCCTTCGGGGCACCGTCGGCATGGGAACGGGGGCGCGAATTGCCTCGGTGGCCCGCCTGGGAGCACAAGCGGCACGCGCCGCGCCCCAGCGGCTCCGAGGGAATGCTCCCTGGGGCGAACTGGCCCTCTGAACCTGTGGAGGCGCCGCCCCTGCGCCCCTTCTTGGCTCTCGCTGACAAGGCCGCTCCGCTTGCCCATGCCCCATGGGCACCTTGCCTTTCGCGCCCCGCGTGCCCCCGATGCCGTGGCCCGCGGCAGAGTAGCTCGCCCCTGAGCCCCCCCGCCTGCCGCGGCCGCGCTGGCGGCCGACCCGCGACGGCCTGGCGCTTCGTGCGGTGATGGGGCAGCTTGTTCTTGTTATTCTTCTTCTCCTTCTTCTTCCTATTCTTCTTTTTCTTCAATATCTGCGCTGCCGCGCGGCGACGAGGCCGACTTCTCCTCGCTGCTCGACGCAGCGCGATGGCGATGCGCGATCGTCTCGGGCGCCTTCGCCTGCGCCCCCGCGCGTCGAGCCTGCCCCTTCCTCAGCTTCTCGGCGCGATCAGAGCGGCGGGCGGATCGTCGGCCGAGGGCGAGCATCCAGTGAGCCGCCGATGCCGGGAACCCTGCCTGCAGCGCAACCACGAAGCCCCATCGCGCGAACTTCTTTCCGCCCCGAACCGCGTCGTTCCAGCGCTCGGCCAGGCCCCCCATGCGGAACGGCGGCGGTCGCACCAGTTGCTCCGGGAACGACGCGCGGCAGAAGCTCCCGAGCCAAAGGGGCCAGCATCTGTCGCTCAGACCCGCCGCGCGGTCGAACGTGATCCACTGACCGTCCACTTCCAAGATTTCCTCCTCGCCCGCCGCGTCTCCCCCCGCCGCGCCGTCGCCGCCCCGCTCCGCGCGCGCCCGGCGCGCGTGTCCGGCCCCTGGGCCGAAATGAGATCCCTGCTCCGCGCTCTTGTCCTTCTTGCGCTCCTTGCGCTCCTTCGGGGCCAGCGCCTCGCCCCGCGGCGTCTATTCGGCCTTGGGCATCAAAATCTGGCGACCGCCGTCCGACTCCTCCTTGACCGCGGCGCGCTCCGCGCGAGGCGGTGTCCGACTGCGGCCGCGCCGCTCTGCCTCTGCGTCGCCGCCCGATGGGGGCGTCGCCCTCGCGACGTCTCGACCGCCCATGCTGAGGGGCCAAGCGGTCGGCGGCCCCCGCGCGGAGGCGCTCGCCTGGGCCTCAGCGGCCGCGCGGCGCGCGCTGTCACAGGGGGTGGCCGGCGAGGTGGGGCGGAGGACTTCGTTGCTTCCCGTCGCCTGTCGCCCTGCCTCGCTTGATCGCCTGGGCGCTCATTTCACGCGCAAGCGTTCGACTCGTTTCCATCATGACCTCCCGTACCTTGTCGCTAAGACCTCCTTGAGTTAGCCCGTCTGACACCATCCACCGGCTAGGTGACCGCCCACCCCCCGCCCCCTGGCTTCCCATCTCTTTGCGGATCGCATGGCGCGTGATATGCGCGGCGAGCCGCGCAGCGTCGGGCCGATCGTCGGGGATGCTGCCTTCGATCTTCACAGGATCGAACAGGCTCGGGCTGTCGGTGCACGGCGCAAGCGGCATCTGCGCCTCGCCGAGCCCCACCGCCGGCGCGTCGCTCCATCCGCGCAGGGCCTCGCGCAGGAGCGCCCGCATGTAGTGGGCCATGCCATGGCCCACTAGACGCGCCGCCGTCTCGGCGGAGAACGTTGACGCATCCGCGCGATGGCTCACCCTGCTGCGCCAATCCAGGATGGAAATAGGCATCTCTTCCTGCTCCATACAGTCCAGGTCGACAGCTGCGGTCTGTGACCAGACATTACGACGATCGAACCTCTCAAGATCCTCGTCCTTCTCAAGGAGTTCGCTGAAATTGCCGTAGAGCGAGGAGTCGTGCCAGCAGCCCGCCCCCATGCGGCCCTTGCTGGGCGCGGTTCTCAGGCGCGCGACGCGGCTGGCCATGAGGCCCCTGGTAAATTTGTTCTGCTCCCGCGCGCCCGCATGGGTGGGCTCCTTCTCCAACTTCTAAAGGTCGTTGGTCTCGAAGGCCTTGTCGATCTGGCACTGTCCGGCCAGCCAGTGCAGGGAACCCACCGCCGACGGAAATTTTGATTGCCAAATGGGGTGGGCGGCGTCCCCCCCTCGTTCGACCACAGTTGACCTCCTCTAGGCGCCCGTCAGTGAACTCGGGCATGCTGACCTCAACGCAGCCCCCGTTCACCTTGACCCGACGGCCAGTGAAGAGGTCGCCGTTGGCCTGCCCTGACACCGCTGTCCAAGACCCACAGGGTAACCTTTCCTGGGGCTTGGCCCCCCTGTTTCGCAATCCCGCACTGCCGCCGCGCGCGATCACGCAGTCGCCCACATGGACGACCAACGTACCAGCAAGATGGTCGCCCTGGTAGAGGCAGAGGAACGCCGCGTCCAGCTGCAGCTATTTCCAACCCATTTTTCCGACCAGGGCCTTGCGAAAGGTGTTGGGCCATGCTCGCGGGGCGCCCGGCAGCCCGCACCTTCCTTTCTCGATCTTGAGCAGCCGGCCTGGCTCTAGCCCTGGTTGGCCGCCCCTCGACTGTCGCATATATATATATATATATATATATATATATCGCCCCCTGGCCATGGCGCGCCCCCCACTGGAAGAATGCGCTCGAGATGTCACCGATCGACAACTGGGGGGGCCATCCAAGATTCGCAGAAAGCTGCTGAAGAGCGTGGAAGCCGGGCCGCTGCACCGCGGGGGCGTCGGTCTTGACCGCCCAACTTTGCGCCGGCGTCGCGCTGGCCCTGCGCGCGCTGCCGGGCTTTCGCTTCCGCCGGGAGCGGGCCCCTCGAGCCGCGCAGCGCCGCGTTCTTGTCCTTTTGTTTCATGTCGCTGCCGAAGATTCGTCGTCGATCCACTGTCTGCAGCGCGCACCTTCTCGGACGCGTCTGCCTCCAGCGCGGTCGCGCCCATGCGGCGCAGCCGCGAGTCCACCTCCTCCTCGATCGCTGCGCGGATGGCGGCCCCTGCCCCCCTGCGATGCGCCGACATCACTTCGTGCGCGGGTCGACGCCCGGCCTGAACGGGCCCGTCCACTCGCCTCATCGTCGCGGGCGCATCCACCGTGGCGAGCGTCGGCTCGCGCCCCCGCATCATCTTCTCTTCTTCGAACAGCGCGAGCATGCGGTCGGCAGGAGTTCGGGGCACTTCCCTGGGATATATCATCTGAACCCACCAGATCCGGCGTTCGGAGCAGCGCAATGCCCCCCCCGCGCTTCACGGGTGGCACGCGGCGGCCACTTCTCCGAGGGGCGCCGCCCCTCGGGCGTCACCCGGGCCCGGGCCTCAGGGCCCATCCCGGGACTTTAGCGCGCCGCGCTAGGTCCGGGGAGGGGCTCGGGGGCAGTCCGCCCCCCTGCGGCCCCGCGCAGGCGGCGCGGCGGCGTCGCCCACGCCGTCTTCGTCTTCGACCTCTGCCACCGCTGGAGCGCCCCCCCTCGCCGAAGGAGGGGGCTCGTCGTCGGAACTCCCTCCGGCGCCAGGCCGCCGGCCGCTTCCAGGCCCTCCAGTTCGGGATCTAGCCCCGCCAAGTCCTCGAACACCTCGCGACTCATCGCCTGGCAGATCTCATCGAGCGCCCCGCGCAGCCCCCCCCCCCTCTTCTGCCAGATGTCCCTCCTCGGGACTCGGCCGAGCGCTGTAGCGTGGCCGCGCCATTCTGGCTCGTTTACTCGGCGGCCCTTCTCTGCGCGGAAGCGCCTGAAGAAGAACGCGCGCCCCCCTCGCTCCAGTCCTCGCGGTTGCCGCGGCCCTGCGCGGCCACTGCTCGCGGGGCCAGCCCCTGGCAACTTGTCTTGGCGCAGGGCTGCTGGCAGTGCTCGCGGATCTTGAACCACCCGGTCAGCGGGTCGCCCTCTCGGCAACGCAGGGGCGGTCGCTCGCCGCCATGCCGTCGCGCCGGCAGTCGCCCGCCAACTTCGCCTTCTGCTCGAATGGAAGCAGAGGCGGGCCGTGGCCGCACTGGCCTGGGCAATGATTCAGAGCGGAAGCCGTCTCCCAAGAAAGGGTCTCCATTTCGCCCAGGCCAGTGTAGGCCCCATGCCGGATGCTCTTCTTCATTGCACCTCTTGCTTCCTGATAATTGCGCTCCACCTTGCCTTTCTGCC